ATAAATTTGTATTGTAAAAATAAAAATTAATATATAATTTAAACTGTATTCCATGTTTCCCAAAGTATAAACCTCTCGTTTTTGCACCCTTCGTGTTTTGTCTCCTGCTCTATGTTCACCCTTCCCCCCCCCCCCCAGCACTACACCAGTACTGCCACTGGACTACACCGGTACCACCATAAGCACCAGCGTCGGCAATACACTGGTACGTGTTCTTCTCACCTCGCTTGGTCTTTGTTCTTCCTCTGCCGTCTACGTTCTGTTTTGTTTCCTTCTTTGTGCTTTTTCCCTTTCTCTAAAGGATCAATTTCTTCTCTATCTTACCTCTTTCTCTGCGTTCTCTTCGATTTCTCTCTCCGAAATCTCCACCCTTTACAATTCAAGCTTTAGATTCGAGATCCTCATCTCTTCCTCGTGCCCCAGCACTCCTCCCTTTCGGTTCTGGCATTGTGATTTCATTACCGAAGTTTGCCATTACCAAAGAAAGGTATTCGGCACAGTAATGGCAATGAATTTCATTGCCAAAAATTTTTGTTAACCGAGAATTTCACCGGTAGGATACCTTGCCCTACCGGTGCCCACCCCCTCCTTATTCTTAAAACAACAAAAGCCCTCTCTCTTCTAAGTTCAGAATCCTCTCTTTCTAGCTTTTCTCTCCAGAGTAAACAATGTAAGTATGGTTCCTTCTTCTCTCTCGTTTCCATTGGTTTTTTCTTTCGAATTTATCCCTGTTCTTTTTGCAGATCTCGAATTTGTGTAAAAAATCTGCCCAAATATGTTGCTGAGGATCGGCTCTGAGAGTTTTTTTCACGGAAAGGAGAAATTACAGATGCCAAGCTCATGCGCACCAAGTATTCATTAATAATATATATATATATATATATATATATATTTACTTCTCTTTTTTTAGAATTGGAGAAATCAGGAGTACTGATATTGTGTATATATGTGTTTTTCTCAGAGATGGTAAGAGCAGACAATTTGCTTTTGTTGGGTTTCAGACGGAGCACGAAGCTGAGGAAGGTATTAAATACTTCAACAAGTCTTATCTTGATACTTTTAGGATCACATGTGAGGTATGTGCACTTTTTGTTTCTTTAAGGATAGCTCTAACTTCATTTACTTGAAATAGAGAGCAGAAAATCTTGTGATGTTAAAGTTTGCTCTTTTAATTGTTTTGGTATATTGAATATTTTAGAGGCAAATCGAATATATTTTGAGTTTTTGAATTTTGGGCAATCTGTTGGATTTGCCTTTCTTATCACAGTCGATGTGCGTTAGTAGTGATGCACAAACTACATATGCTAAACGTGATGCCTGCATGTTAAGAAACATAGAATTCAGGAAGATAATGATGGAACTTGGAATGTAATAATTTCTCCCGTTTGCTTGATTTCAAAGTTCTGGTGTATCAGCCTACAGAACTGTATGTCTTGAAAAGAAAAGAAAAGATGTAATTCTAGCTTGGTGTCACATCTTCATATATGGTCTTAAAAGTTAAAGCTTGAAAACACATAGATGTATTCTTATTGGTCTCTGCTTGTCTAAAAATCATTGATAAGCACAGCACTGTAGACACTAGACACGATAAAAAATTGACGCTATACAGGTTAATGAAAATTTTATTATTCCCCTAGTTACTGTAATTTTTCAACTAATACTTATATGGAGAAAAACACATTATTGGAACACTTTAAATTAGGAAAGCAATGACCTCAGTTTCTCTCTTTTAGATTGCTCGCAAAGTTGGAGATCCAAATTCTCCTCATCCATGGAATCAATATTCCTCAAAGAAACAAGAGAAGGTGATTGATGTTGGAAACAAAACTCCTGTGCTAAAAGTTCCAGCCTTGTTGGTACTAA